GAGTAAATATAGCAACAAAAAGTAAAACAAAACAGAACAGCTATTTATAGTGAATTCGATTGGACAATCAGTATTCTGCCAGAAAATGTTTTACTTGCTTGAGACAGGGAAAGAAGATCCTTAAGAACAAGGAGGAGAAATTTTCCACTCATCATCTCCTTTTCCACTATTTTTCACATTTTAAAATATTTTTCATATGGTCGTAATTTTATAATTTTGCCTAAAGTTGTAAATTTGCAGCAACAGAAAGAAGATTTGCTTTTGTTTAATTTTGAAAAATGGCACCACCCAGATGTGAGACCATGAGCTGCACAGCAGGTAATAACACTATGGAAGAAACTGCAAGCTTTAAGCTCACAATACACAATTTATTTGCATTTTTAACTATATTTCTATGCCTCCTTTTCTGTCTGAAATCAAGTGTAAGGGAGTATGGAAGATGGCTTTTTTCAAAAGTATTCTGAGAAATGAAACTCATGAAGCCCTATTCATTAAACACTGCACACAAAACAGACAACAGTTTTGTGACAGTAATCAACAATTGCCAACAGAAACTTGACACTTGGTGTTCAAAATTTAGTTGTTTCAAACAAATAGATACGAAAGAGATACCCAAAAGAATGAGCTTTTCAGGTTTATTTGTCCTCTAATTTAGTATCTAAACAAATATTACTACTCTTTTGCTTTCTGTGATGGGTGAAAAACAACATAAACAGCCTTAAATATGGGTGCTAAGAGCAAAAACTTTTAACAAAGATCGCTTCTTATTTAAATGCTGTTTATGTAATGGATATTTTCATCTAAAGCAAAGCATTGATTTTTAGGACATGAACTTCCCAATTCTCTTTTTACAAGAACACAACTCTTCATTTCAAGGAAATAAGAATGGCCCAAGATACTAGACTTAACACTGAAATAGTCAGAAAACATTTTTGTAAGATCTAGTGAGAGCATGATGAAGCACTGAATATCCACCTGGATTTAAGGCAACATTTTATTTATTTTGGAAATACTTTGATAACTGTGGCACACCAGAAAAATCCTAACCATGTTAATTTCTCCCTGACACAGTCTGCTATTTCTCTGGACTTATTTAGCAAGGCTACAATAACCATTCCAGCTGCCCTCCGTTTCTCTGGATATTCACTCAAAGTTCTTAAGAACTCTAGAGCTATAGTTGACTTAAAGAGTTTAAAAAAAAAAAAATCTAATCAGACTTGTAAGGACATTTTTAAAAAAGCAGCATGTGTTACTTCATCTATTTCTCCTTTTATTTAGTTGTAAAGGTGAAGTTTCAAAAGTATTCTGAAATCAGCAACTTGCAGCAGCTCCTGTTGGCTGACCTCCCCTTCCTCTGGATGCAGAAAAATAATAACCAGGTGACTTGAAGAGCAGCTAGTAATCCTGCTGTGTGCACACACAGTAATATCTTCTTATTCCTCTTCAGGATACAGCTACTCTCACTCTTTTCCACAGTTTTCTATTACCCAGCAATAACTGCTTAAAGATTCTAAACTTATTGTGCTGTCATAAATTGCAAAGGTCGCAGTGACCTACAAATGTCATGATCCTTTGCTGAGAAAGAGCCATATAAAGAGTTGGTCATGACTTGGATTTGTGCTTTCTAAGGAACAGTAACACACCTGTGCTTTGTGCTAAACTGACTAACCTGAATATTGATATAATCCTGCAGGCTCTTTTTCTTTTTTTTTTGTAAATGGAAAATATAGCTTCAAAAGCAGCCATGAGCTTGGATTCACATTCCCATCTGCAGCCATATCACTACCTGCTGTGACCTTCCGAGGTTCCAGAATCATGCAGTCAGGCTACCTAAGTTTTGGAGACAGAAATTTTTGCAGAACTCTTCAGAAAAGGGAAAGCCTGCAAGCCAGTTTGGCCTCACAGCTCAGCAGCACTGCCCAAAGCTGCTGCAAGAGAAGTGCATGGCCATATTTGTCGCCACAGGCTAACTGCAGTAATAGATAATATTTATATATGCCAACAGTGCTCCACAAGACCAATTGAGAGCTAGACCAAAACAAAACCTCTGAACTGCAGAGAGCACAGGCTTTGGGTTATCAGCACCATCTGTTTCACTCTGCAAACATGTGTCTATTGTGCACACCACTTTGTTCTGCAGACATAGCCTAAGATCATATTTCAGTACCTGCATGTAAGTGGCTTTATTCAAAGACTGCAAGCATCTGCCACCACTAACAGAACCCGTCACTCAGTTTTCTTCTCCCTTACCAAGTCACACTTTTCAACTGCATATGACAAGCTATTTTTAGCTCAAGTGTCACAACAGAGACAATGTGCATTTTAAAATAGAGCAGCATGCATCAGAGTATATCAAAGTAATTACAAGGGCTCAATCCTTGAAAGGAAAAGATGTGAAACAGTAGCAGCAATTATACAGTTCTCAATAGCATCTGCCAACCTCAACATTTCAGCTTACATAATTTCAACTTATCCAACTGCAATACTTAATGAAGGAGCAACTCAACACTGTATGCACCCATGGTACCATCCCTACATACAACTAGCTTTGCTCTAACACGAATCACAAGCAGATCTTGTAACTTTCAAAAATCCTGAGATCCAACACAATAGTTTGTGTCACAGGAGTGTTTTTGGGATGGTCATGCTAGAGGTATGTGCCCATTTATGTCATAGCAAATGAGGAACATCTATAGGAGCTGTCCTAAGAACACCCCTTCCAGGAGAGTTCCTGGAATGCACAGCGAGACTGGGACATCTCCTTCTGGATCTCAGACACGAAGTCCACCTGACATATAAGAGGGTAGCTGTTGCTGACAACTAAAGGCAAGTACTGTGCTTGCTGCTGACCCTACCACACTTTCACACTCCAAACTTGAAGCTTGCACAGTTTTGGGGATAGAAAACAGCCCTTTTCTAAAAACTAATGGCAGGGCCACAGGAGGGAGGAGAACGTATCCAGTGCCTGAGGTTGGCAGATCCAACTGTCTTAGCAATAATGAACACCAACTACATTCACTGTTTTAGTTCTATGTACAACTTAGTTCTCATCTGTTCAAGATTTGATTGCTTCACCTCTCTTGAAATCAAAGCTACAAGAAGATAAATAAGTAAGCAAACAGAAAAAAAAATAAATGATTATCTGACTTGATAATAGTACTCGCAATCCACCGTTCCATTAAAATGCTTTTCCACATAAGGATTACTCTATTGTACACAAACATACCACTAAAATGTGCCAGCGAGACCACATGTCCTTTCCCTTCTCCTGTAGGGGAAAATGAGCAGTCTCTGATAAGGCCACTCTACTGCAGAGAAGATTTCCTCAAAAAGCCCTATTTTTTATATGAATATATACACACATAAAAGGTTCTGAAGGGGAACCCAGATTTTGTGCATGGAAGCAAATATGATTTCAATGGAAAATGAATACATTTTGGCCAAAGTCATTTAGCACTGTATTGCACTGGTTTGCTATTTATGAGATAGAGACCTGGGATCAGCAAATCTTGTTTAACTACCACGCCCAGGGAGAAAAGAGAAACTGATTCTAAAGCTAGAATGTAGCTTAGCTCAAGAGAGATTCCTAGAAAGATTCCTGCAGTTCAGACCCTAAAAAAACCTGTCTGTGGAATAGCCACATAAAGGCTCAAAGAGAAGCTCTTTCTGCTACTTTCACAGTATAAGCTTAATGCACTAATATTTAGAAAATCCCACTGTTGCCGAAAACATTAAACATGTGACACACACACAATTAACTTCAACACCAGTACCCATGAAAACACTAACCTTTCAATTTATCTTTTAACACGTTAGAAGCATTAATCTCTGAACACCTCAGACAATTAAGCTGAAGTTATTTACACATGAGAACTCTAAGCAAAGTTGTCCTTTAAAACAGGACAGCCTGTAATTGTTGCATTTCTTTTCATTCCAAATTGTAATTACTTCACAGCTTCCTACAAATTTTTTTTCAAAAACTCTTTCAAAGCTATTGTCTTGATGAAAATGGAATGCTAGAACTTGATCACTTACAAATAATACACCATAAAATACACTTCAAAATGAAATATCATGAAAACCAGCAAGTCCCATGGAATGTATTTATTTCGACCAAAAGGTAATTTCAGACAGCATTCACTGGCAAGCTTCCAACCAGCTCTCACTATAAAAACTGATGTATTCTTTGACAGTGATAGTAGCAGATAATTATAATTTGAGTACCTTGGGCAATGTTGCCTCATGTTATAGAAAGTAAGAGAAGTGACAGGAAAAAGGGTAGCCCGGGGATGGTGCAAGTGAATTTTACTTTTTGGGCTCTACAAGTGACAGAAAAGGCTGTGATAAAATTCAGAAAAAAAAAAAGTAGCCAACTAGAAAGATCTCTTTATCCTTCAGAGCTCCTACACACTATTCAGAGCCCCTACATGCACACAGAACAGTATTTACTGCCATTTGTTAGGAACTGCTGCAAAATACACTTTCATAAGAACGCTGGGTAATTCTAAAACCAACCAGCATTATTCAAAGTGCTACATCAGAAATATCAAAAAGAAATGTCATGGACAACCTTTAAAAATATAAGAGTCACTGCACTGCATTCCTCTAACACCTCTGCATAAGGAGTTGTATATTTTCTAATAACAGCCAAACAGGATACCCAGCTCTGCACACAAACCTCTGAACATCAGCCTAGAAGGAATGCCTGGGCAGTCGGAGAGCTACTCCTTTCAAACTGAGTCACAGAGGACTCCCAAAAAAGGGAACTCTTCAAAAATAGCCTTTCAAGAAAGCGTTCAGCTCTATTCAATATAGATACCTAAACCTCATCAATAAAGAACCTTACACTTCAGCAAAACCTCTGTTCAATTACATATTATCTTCCCTATGAATGTGAAATCTGATGATGACAAGAACATCTCATAACATTTCCGAATCATCAGGAGGATATCAAATCTCATTTTTCATCTCCAGGGAAAACTTTTACTCTTTAACTTTACCTTTCTACCACATCTTCTCCGTTCCAGCAAGTTGAGCTGTCTCTCACCACCAGGTCTCCATCACACAGTCTTTCTGTTATAGAGGCATAAAATGTTCGGGATCGCTTCATATAGTTGATGAACTCTCTGCAATGCATCAATAACACACATTTAACCACAGGGTGGTACACTTATGGTTGGTTTAAGTCCCACTGTCAAGTAAACCCTCCAGAGTCCACAACCCATACAAAAACTAAAAGCCAAACCACTTACCCTCCATTTTTTGCTCCTAAGTATCACCCTGTCTTACTTAGCCCAGTATTAATACACACAACAAAGTTCAAAGAATTTAAGAAATGTTATTAATACATTTTGAATTTGACGTTTACACCAGTCTATATAAACAGATAAAAAATGAGAAAGCACAACCATTAAAATAAGTTATTTTTTCCCCATTACTGAAAGTGAGTATTTCTCCATTCCCTCAGCCTATGTCAAATGAATTACAAATACTGTCAACTCTCTCCTCGGTGAAAAAGGCTTCCTAAAGCTAGCATCTAATCGCAAAGCCTGCAATCTTCCATTAAGTACTCCAAGCAAGCAACAGTAGAATATACTCCCCACTACCACTATCACTGTCACTCTGATAGCACAAAGAAATTTCCCTCTCATCAAGTCAGGCATCTCACCTATAAGAACAGGCTGCACCTGTTGCTTTGGAGAAAAAACCAAAACTCCAGGCAGGTACAAACAGCCCATTCCAGAGTGTTGCACGAACAGAAAAATGCCTTCTTGCAGACAACCCACTGCCTCCCTATAATCTGATTATGCCTATAATACAAATGGCTGAGGTAGTCAGAAAAATAAACAGTAACAAAACAGTATTAATTCTGTACACAATCAAGAACACTGTAAAATGAGAAATTACTCTATTTCCACAATTGTGAAAGCTCCTATTCTGTGCAAGATTTTTTAGATATTGAGAACATGAGGCAAGGTAGAAAAACTGAACTGGGGCTATCAAGGAGCTGCTTTCCCCAGGGAGCCCCTCATCAGTCCATTCTGAGAGGCCAAAAGACTCGCTCCGCTTTCTAATGCTTCTGTCTGGCAGGCTTTAAGAGGGCACTGCACTGGAGCCGTCCTTGGGGATACAGCTGGACAAAGCTTGGCACAGCAGCAGTCAGGATTTACTAATCTTTTTAGAACTGGTGCTTTAAACAATGTTCAAGTCCACTGTTATCTTACCATACAAGGTTT